GAGAAGAGAGAGAAGACACTGGGGGTGCAAAAGAAATGACCACCTGTGCTCCATGGGCTTCGAGTTCAGCGGAGAAACAGGGCTGGCAGCCATGAGCACAAGGAATCAAACGAGCAGGGTTCTGCCAAGGGCTTCATGAGAGTGGGCGGCACTCAGGCCTCCTGGGAAGGACCTTGAAACCAAACTATACTAAACTGTTGTTTAATACAAAGTAAATGGAAGATGTTCCCCCCGAACAAACCGAAACAGTGGTGGGCTGTGCCATCTACCACCTGCACCTGGAGTGGGCTGGGAACATTTCCCTTCCTAGGGCCATCCCCTGGCATAGGACATGCTTGGGCAGGGAGCTGGCAGAAGTCAATGGGGCCACTGCAGCACCTGGGGAATAGGGCAGGAGTGGGGCAGCCTCCCTATTCTGAACCAAGGTGACTGATGTTGACATCTATAAGCATATTTTCTGGACACCTAGCCCACTGACACCCCGGCCCCAGGCTGCTTCTGTACTAAGCAGACCCACGGGACAGTGATACAGGTCTCACGGGGGCTGCAGCTCCTGCTCAGCACTAAAGGGGGCCGGGAGAGGCTCAAGTCCCCTGAAGGCCCAGTTAGGGCCCCCTCTGGGCTACCCTTAGTGTCCAAAGGCACTGTCCCTTCTGGCTGACTGACCCCCAGGCTCTACAGTAAATGCCAGCAACTTCTCTCTCTCTCAGGGCTTCTGCACCTCCTATACCCTTCCTGTCTGCATGAATCCATCTTGGAATTAACTGTAACTGTTCCCCATGACCCTCTGGTGGGCTCCTCTGTTGTAGGCAGGATACAAGCAGGGGAGACCACCACTTGGCCACCAATTGGCGCTCTGGTATATACAGGCAGAGTAACCCAGCAAGCCTCAGTTTCTTCATTCATAGAATGGGCGTAACAACCACCTCCCACCTTACAGAGATGAACTGAAGGTGACTTTGCCAGTCAACAAATACTTATCAAACAAGAGTTCCAGGGCAGTGTTTCTCGAGTTGGAATGTGCATACATATCACTGGGGAATGCAGGTGCTACGCAGGTTCTGATTCGCTACATCAGGGGAGGGGCCTGAGGGTCTGCCTTTCTGTCAAGCTCCCGCCCGGGCGGTTCACATGCGATAATGCTACCTCCCCTCCCCAGTCAGAACTTCCGGTTCCAGAGCGAAGGGTCCACACCTCATGTTTCTGGGTGTACCACGGAAGTCAAGTACACCAGAGGGGCTCAGGGATTGGTACTTGGGGAATGAAGGACTGAACAGGGGGTTCAGATAGGCAGGGGAAGGGCCCTCAGCTCTGCCCAGGGCCAGCGGATGACTTGGGAGCAGCTGGCCACAGGACAGGCCCATTACTGAGCGGCAGATAAGTCAACCTGGCTGCCTCTCCGTGGCCAGGAGGAGTTGCAGGCACAACCTGGGAAGAGGCAGTTCTTACTCCAAAGCCAGAGGCTCTGACAGGGCCCAGCCCACTTCCCAGGTGCCACCGTGAGACTGGGCACAGATTGCTCAGACAGGGAAATGACAGGTCTTTCCAAGAAGCTGCTTTAGTTTTCTACCTTAGTGAAAAATCTGTGGTTTTGATACTATTTCTGAACAAACTTGACATGGACAATACCTTTCTTCCCCTTAGAGAAGTTGCAGGGTCATGTACTCCCCTATAGCACACACATATATGTGCGCCATGTTTCTGCATTTCAGGCAACAGAAACCCGAGACTGCTGCAACTGCAGCTCCCAGGTTGGTGTCTAAAGCCCTCCCTGAGAGTCAAGAGGCATCTTCTGGTCTAAACCACATCCCTCCCACTTCAGAGGAAGGCCACGTGCTGTGAGAGAGGCCTCAGAGGGTCACACTGCCAAGTCCCTCTGCTTAAGGCAAAAGTGGGTGAGCTGAATGTGTTTTTATGTCTTTTGGGGGTGGAGGTAGAGAGCCCCAGAACCCACTCCTGTCTCCTCCCACGAGAACAAGAGCTCTACACTGGAGACAACCACATACAAGTCCTGACAGCCTCCAGGCCTGGCCAGCTCAGGATGCCCCAAGATACACTGGCCCATCTTCCTCCCTGCAGCCAGCTGTGACTGAGAACCAAACTCTCTGCTCCACTGGAACCAAATGGAACCACGGAGCAGAGTCTAACACAAAATGGCAAATAAGCTGTGGTATAAGGGCCTGGCTAGGTGGAGTGCTCGGGAGTAGGCAAGGCAGGCTTCTGCAGAGGCCACCTAGAGTTTGACAGAGCCTAAAAATGCAGAGGCTGCCTGGGGGTGGAACATTCTAGTTCAAATATTAGCTAACTGATGTCCCGGGCAAGTTGCTTCACTTTCATTAGCCGTGGTTTCCTTATGTGTAACATGAGGGATTGGCCTAGATCAGTTCTGTGATTCCTCTCAGTCTAGAATTCTGAGTAGCACGACCACGAGTGTTTATGAGCTCACGCTGCCTGGATTCAAATCCTGGCTCGGCCACTTCCTGTGAAATCTGAATGAGCCCGTCCCTCCACCTCTTCAACCGTAACTCCTAGTCTGTGACACGGGAATAAAGAGAATACCCATTCTCTGTGTGGATTCAATGAGGGCACACCTGGCAGAGCAAGGGCTTAATAAGCATCATTATTCCGTGAACGCTGTGGCCTCCTGCTGCCACTGTCCTTTCCATGGACCAAATGTTTGCATCTTCTCCAAGTTCGTATGTTGTAGTCCTAACCCCCAATAGGATGGTATTTGGAGATGATGCCTTTGGGAGGTGATTAGGGTTAGGCGAGGTCATGAGGGTGGGGACTCACGATGAGATTAGTAGCTTTATAAGAAGAGGAAGGCAGGGATTGCCCCATGCACACGTGGAGGAGAGGTCATGTGAGGACACAGTGAGACTGGTGGCCATCTGCAAACCAAGGAGACAGCCCTCACCAGACACTGACCCTACTGGTACCTTGATCTTGAACTTCCCAGCCTCTAGAACTGTGACAAATAAATTCTTGGGGTTAGTCACCCGGACAATGATATTTTGTTACAGTGACCAAGACAACACCCTTGCTCGTAAAGTGTCAGGACCAATGACCAGCCATTCCCACCCCCTACTCTCTGGATGGGGAGACCCACTGTGTACCCCCAAATCCAGGAAAATCAACGTCATGCATACTCTGGAGGTCACGTGCATGGTCTCAAGCACACACAGGTGAATCAGGTGAACCCTCAGCATGCCAAGCAACAGGACACGGAGGACAGGCAGAGAGGAGGCAGGCAAGTGGGAGGCCACGTGCAGTCAGGGAGGGGCGGGGAGCTGGCACAGCCCACGACCGAGGCGCCCATGCCACGGTGCCCGGCTCCTTACCTCCCCTGGAGGACCTCTGACCACCAAGAAGCTGGAGGTGTGCTGGAAAGAGTAGAGAGCAGGAGACAGGGAGCAGTAGGCACCGAGCCAGGTCTACAGGAAAAAAGTGCTGGAAAGGACCCCCAAGGAAGGGTGTTAGGTTCAGGAAGTCCACGGCACAAGTGGTTTCCAAGAGGCCCGAAAGACCCAAACCCCAAGTGAAGATCACCCTCAAGCCTGGCCTGTACCAGGAGCCCAGAGAAGGGGACGAGAGAGCAAAGGGAGAAGAGCTCATAGGCTAGACCATCCAGATGGGCACCTGCCCTCCTGCTGGCTGGCACCAGGTCTGTCTAGAGTGATATTCCCAGCAGATTTCCTGAGATGGCGTGAACAGTCTCTCAATGAGGAAAGGGACCCAGGGACCCAGCAATGGACAAAAAGCCCTCAAGAAGCCCCACCAGCCAGGGACAAGGAGGCTGCGCCCTGCATAGATGTCACAGTGAATCACCTGGGACCCACGGGAGACAGAGGAATGGGGGTGGGGATTCATATTCCAAGGCCGATGTCAGAGTGGAGGTTCCAGTCCTGGCCCCACCTCAAATCTCTGGGTAACTTTGGGCGAGGTACATAGCCTCTCTGGGCCTCAGTTTCCCCATATATAAGATGGGGGAGAACATCCCTATCTATGATGAAAAGAGGGTGACAAATACTCTGCCGATGCCAGACACCAAATCCCCGTAGGGACACATGTATTTCTAGACTTTTCTCTAGGGATTGGTTTGTGCCGGAATAGGGAGATGATCAAACAGTCAAGATTCCTGGGCAGTGGGGCTCCCCAAACCTCACTGCCACTAACAGCCACCCCTCAGACTCTGTGATCCCAGGGCTTGTGGATCCAGAAAGCTCGGGCCTGAAGCATAACATTTGCAGCAGAGCTTTTACTATAATAACATGGAATACCTTCAGGGTCGAGTTCAATGACACTACTCCCCCAGTTGGGCCATCCACAGCACCCCATATCATGAAATTCCAACATCACTGACCCTGTGTGCCTGGGTCTCCACCAGAGTACCCCTCGCCCTGGGAACTGGTTCTCACCTGCCCATCACTGGATCATGGCACCACCTCCCTGGGCCACTCACAGCAGGTGCCTAACAAATACCTGAGGTGTCATAGACTCCTCTACACCATCGAGTATCTGACTTGTAGCCAGTGTCAGCCACCAGCACCAGCCTGACAATGGGATGGTCCATTTTTTTAAGCCTTTCTCAACCTGGTTACACTACTGATTCCTTCTGGTAATGGTAATCCTGTGAGGGCAGGTATTACCTTGTCTTGCAGACTAGTCAACTGAGGCTAAGAAAGGTAAAGAGGTAATTTTCCCAAAGGCACATAGTGGGTAACTAGGGGTCAACAGAGCCAGGGAAAGAACCTGAGTCTTGTGACATCCAGCCTAGTACCTGCCGTCAGCCAGCATGCCCGGTTACCACTGGTCTCCACCCGGCAGGTCAGTGCCTGGGCACAACCAGGGGTGCTGTATCTTGGACATTGGCCCAGCAGGCCCACCCTGAATGCAGCATCTGCTGACCTACAGCTGCAGCCTGCTCCTGGCACACGGGGGGCCTGAGTGTAAGGAGCTGGGCATGAGGGTGGGGAGTCCCAGTTGGCGCCCATACCTACCTTTGATGACAAAGGCCTCTGCCAGCAGCCGCATCCGATACAGGGGTTTGTTCCCCACAGACATGTCATCAATCCCAGCCCGTGCATACATGCTGATGGCGTCTCGGTATGACCCCTCCACGTAATGCAGCTTGCCCAGGATCAGCATGGCCTCACACATGTACTGCGGCTGAAAGGACAAGGACCACATTAGCAGGCATCTGTCCCAAAGTCCCTGTCCCCAACCTCACCAGGTACCCTGGAATGAATACCACCCCCACTGAGCCATGCTCAGAAACCCTCTCCTCCTCCCAGAAGCCTTCCCTGAGCCTCGAGCACATGCCAACGGCTCCCTTCTCTAGCTCTCTTCTCTCCACACCTGCAGCCCATGGCCTACCTGTTGAAATTCTTATTGAAATTTTTATAGGAGTCCCTAATTGTTCCATGAGTGTGTGTCTTAGGCAGCTTATAGACTGGGCTCTGTCTTCTCTCTCCTGCAGCCCCCAGGGGCTTCAGCCCAAGGCTGGCACTACAGGTTGGGATGCAGGTATTTGTTCTCAGCACAAGCGGGGAGTCAGGGACCCATCCAAGTTTTTTGAAGCCTGAAGCTTATAACACCTGAGGAGTCCTCTCTCTATACATATATACACAAGCAAATGAGGTGAAAGGCCTTGGAACGAGCCCATGCAGGTGAGAGGCTCCCACCCACAGCAGCTGGACCTTTGTAGGGAGAATGGCCACATGGGCAGCGCGGGACAGAAGCGGGGAGGAGAGCAAAGGCCTGTGGGGCCTTGTCCTCATCTTATCGGAAGCGGGTGAAAGTGCAGAATCAAGTCCCTGAATCCAAACCTGTTCTCTCTGCCCTACTTTTTCAAGTACTGTTTATGCCCAAATCTTCACCCCATACAAGGACTCTCAGGGCCTCCCTCAGGGTCCCTAGAGGTCTGCATGAGAGTTCTAGCCTTTCACGTGGGCCCAGCCCAGCTCCAAGATCTCCCACCTTCTGAGGCCACTTGCTCTAGCCTGCTGCCTCCATTTCTGTGCCCAGTCAGCCCATCACCCCTTTGGCCAGGCTCTGAGCACTGTCCCGACCACACAGCATCAATTCTGTCCACGGAGCTCCCTGAAGATGGCCCCCACTCCTGGCCTGTCACCAACAGGAAGGTGCTGCCTCTGACTCCTTTCCAGAGTCTGGGGCACATGTGGCCCCAGGGGAAGCCTCCACCACTCCCCACCATCTACTATACTCTCAAAAACCAATTAAGAGAAATGGAGCACAAAACAGCCAAATTCTCCTCCCTCACCAGTTTTTGTAAATACACATGTTGCCTTTGCTCACACAAGCTCCCAATCTGGAAGTCTCCCCTTTCCCTCAAGCTATCCAGATTCTCTTCCATCCTTTGGGGCCTTGCTCAGGCCCACCTCCTCCTGGAAGCCTCCCTGACCACCAGGGAGCTCCCATCTGCTGAATTCCTACGATGCCTCTACCAAGTGAACCCATTCAGCCTCTGCATGCCTGGCCTGTGGACTATTGATTAATTCTCAAAGGCTGAATTTTTCAAGGCATTTGCTAGTCTCCCCAAATAGGCCAGCCACTCCCCCTGGACCAGGGTCCTAGATCACACCCCCCCAGAGGCATGTAGCCTCTGATGAGCAACATCTCTGCTGTTTTCCCCGCTGGTTTCAACACAGGCACGTGTCCACCCTGCTCGGCCTTGTTTTCCCCTTTGCGAGGGCGCGCTCTTAACACCCACGCTCATCGCCCATCACAGCAATGCCAGGAGCATTCATAGTGCAAAGGCCAGAAAAGAACTTTGAACTTTTCTTTAGAAAAAAGCTAGGGCATGAGTAATTGTTATTATTATTCTGTTCTACCGTAAATGGGGAAAAGGGCAGCAAACTCAGAAGGACAAGTTTCAGGACGTGATGACAGGGTGGGGCTCAGTGGTTCCTGGTGGACCAATGACAGTTTACAACAGAGCTTCCACCAAGCTGGGGGGAAATTAAGGACAACGTGCTAAATGTCTCATAAAGCTAAATTTATACTATTTGAAAAGCTGCCCTTAGTTCCGAAAGCATATGCGTCTTGTTTTTTGGTGTTAAGATATATTTTCTTTTATGGAATGATGGCAATAGAAGACAGTGCAGTTTTGCTGGGGTTTTGTTTGTTTGTTTGTTTGTTTGTTTGTTTGTTTGTTTGTTTTTAATGTCTGTCCACGCATTTGGCAGAATTAAAAGTTGGCTACACTCTGTGGGACCCATGCATTTGAATTTGAAATGTTCTTGGTCTGTTAATCCAACAGTCTAGGGAACCACAGAGCCCTGGCCCAGTGGGAGGATGCTATGCAGGATGTCACTCAGTCTGGGGAATAATCCCTGTGCTGTGTGGAGCAGGCCTGTCACCTCGTCTTTGTACCTCATTGTCTCTGTCAATAAATAGGGAAGAGTGAACATATGTGGATGCCAGGTAAGAGGAGAGAGCAGATGAGTAAATACTTCAGAGGCAAAATGGGACCTATAAAAGCAGGAGAGTCATCATCACCACTAACATTAGCCCAAGTTCCTCTGTCATTATTGTGTCTCCACTCCAGGACTTAGGGAGACACCACTAACAAGTGGCAAAGAGAACGAGAACTTGGGATGTGGAGACAAACAGGCCTGTGTTTAAGTCCTGCACCTGCGACTGTGGTCCTTGGCTAAGTGACTAACCTCTCCTGGGTCTCAGCTTCTTCACCTGGGAAATGTGGACACTAGGAAATACCACTGAGAAGATTACGGCAAGGCACCCATGAGATGGCGCAATGCCTGGCGCTCAGTGGAGAACAAGTTATGACAAATGGTTCATTTGCACTGACCTCCACAGGACAGAGCTGGACAGGATCTTAGAGCTCACTGACAGTAGGTTTCCAACTACCCCGATGTGCCTCAGGACCCAACTCTCCACTTTCCTCCTCAACCCATCAGAGAGCTCCTCAGGATATATGGGAATCTACCTGGGATTTCCTCTGCGGCCAAGAAAAATCACCCCCAGCCGCAAGATTACCCCCTGGCCTTTGGGGTAAGACAGAATCCCATGCACAGTTTAATGGTTTATTCTGCCTGATCGACATCAAGTTTTTGGCTTTGGCCTGGATAGCAGGGAATTTTTCAGTATTATTGGTGCCTGTATATGTCTTTGATGAATAAAGCATGATCAAATTTATACTTAATAAATGTGATGTGGTAGACAAAACAGTTTTCACAACAATATATGTAGATACTATTCAGCCAATACAAAGAATGAGGCATTGGCATGGAGAAAGCTCCAAGGGACAGTTCTTGTGCAAAAGGGCTCCTTGTCCAACATGTATCCTATGACTCTAATAAAAGTTTCATATGTGTGTATGTGTGTTTCTTAATACAGAGAGAAAGGAGTATGGGACACACACCAAATGGTGACCAGTGCTCAACTCTGGGGATGGGAATGGGGTGAGGGTGGCAAACAAAGACTTTTATTTATTAGTCAAATTACTTGCTTATGTAGTGAATCTTTCACAATAAGCTGGAGTCATTTTTATTTTAAAAACAATTAAAAAATATTTAACGGAGTCTACTGGAAAGAAAAAAATTAAAAGGGGTCATAGTGGAAAAGGTGGAGACCCACCAATCAAGTCCAACCCTTTTGATGGCAGATGAGGAACTGGAGGGCCCAAGAGGTCAGGGGACATGCTCAGGGTCAAGCAGCTATTTTAATCTGATGTAAAATCTCCTAGAGCTACAATAATCCCTGTTGAGGAGTCTCAAGGCAATAACCTTAACACTTCCAGTACGCGCTCCCCACGCTGCTTACAGAAAACGCTGGATGCTTCTTGGTCTGGTGTTCTAGTCCCTATTCTCTGGCTCCAGTGTATTTTTATAACCTAATTACCCACCGTTCCCTTTTGTTCTTACTAATTGACATATTTTAATGAACTTCTTATAAGAGGAATCCTTTCTTAGATGACATACTGCTTCCTTAGCTTGGAATGCTCTGTCCTACCTCTGTGTGTCCATATTCCTCCCCCTTCAAGGTCCAGCCCTCCCCCATGAGTCTAATTCTAGTACTACCATCCCCCTGAGTTGACTTCTACCTCACCCCAGGGAGTGTCCCCCTCGGACTTGCCTACACATGTACACCATGTCAGTGGCATGGGACACAGTCCACAATGGACAATCGGATGATAGGACTTATCTTCCCAGTAGGCCTGCAACCTCCCAGAGGACAGGGTCCATGCTGTACTCATCTTTATTGCCCTCAAAGTACACAACACAATGCTTTGCGCATACTAGGTGGCAATCAAATGTGTAGGTCAAAAAATAGATGACCTTGGAACATGTCTTAAAAAAATCACATCTTCTTTGGGTCTCTAGTGACATAACAAATACCTCAACTAGAGCTCAGGATACACTGCAATTTAGAACAGTCTCAAACTTTCATGTGCACAAAAATCACCCAGAGAGCTTGTTAATTCTTAACCAGCTCCTAGCTGATGCTCATTCTATGGGTGGGTGGACCACACTTTGAGCAGTAAAAGGCTAGAGAAAGCTCTGACTCTTCTTCCCTCTATACCTCCCCTCTGTGCCGTGCACACAGTAGGTGCTCAATAAATGCACACAGCCTTAAACTGGCTTGTCATATTATTGAGCTCCTGTCACTGGCCCACTCTGCATGTTTGCCTATTTCCAACTAGATCTTGGGCTCACTGAGGTTTTATTTCTCTGAGATGCCCAAAGAGGACCAGGCGCATACAAGTGGTATCTAATAGAAATATAACTTAAGCCATATAAATTAAGCCACGTGTGTAATTTATATTTTCTAGTAAAATTTGCTAGTCACGTTAAAAAAGGTAACAATAGGTAAAGTTCATTTTAATAACATTGTATTTAACCCCATTTATCTAAAATGTTATCATTTGAACATGTTATCCATGTAAAGAATTAATGATCTTTTCCATTCTTTGTGTAAGTCTTTGAAATTCAGTGTGTGTTTTACACTTACAGCGCGTCTCAGTTTGGACTAGCCACATTTCAAGCGCACATGTGGCTAGTGGCTACTGTGCTGAGCAGCGCAAGGCCAGCCCTTAAGAGACACTTGCTGCTCAGGTGACTGAATGACCCAAGGAGGGCTTGACAAAAGATAGGAGGCATGAGAGAGAGGAGTGGGCACCAGGCTTGAGGGGCTGACAACTTACCGACAGCTTTCCGTGGTTAAGGATACTGCTTAGATAGTTTCTGGCTTCATTCATCTTAGGTTCATTCTTCTCCAGCCAAGGGATGGAGTCTTTTATCCTAGCATTATTCTTCTTTAAACACTGCTCCAGGAGGGCCTCAGCCAGGAGTAATTTTCCAAAGTCATCTGAAAAACAGGGCAGTGATCCCCTGAACATGGCAGATATGGAGACAGGCACATGTCCCCTTTACCCCCCCCCCCTCCCACCCCAGCTCATGAATGGCCTAGGTCCAAGAAAATAAAAAAGACACTGTTTCCATAAATTTAAACAGCCTTTAAAGAAAAAACGCAGGCATTCTATCACGGCACAAGCATAAATCACCCCCTTTTGGTTTATTTTCTGTAGTTTAGTGGTTGGGGAGGCAGAGTTCCCAGACTTGGGATAAATTCCCAGAATTTCAGAATTTAAAATAAGGGACAAAGTCACACGCATGCTCCACCGTGGGTAATAAATAAGTTCTTAAACCAAGAAGGAATTCCTCCCAAATGATTGAAGAGGAAAAATATATGAGGTGGTTTAATAATGTATTTTCACATGCTCCTAATTTCCATGTAACTATAATTGCACTTCTCCAATTTCAAGGTATTTGAACATACCAGGGATAACCTAGCAACCAAAGTGAAGAATTAAAACGGGAAGCAGATTTTCTTGTGTTGCAAGGCAAATCCTGAACAGGTTTTAGTACTGCTGGCACTTTCTGGAGTTCTCTCACATGTTAGCTTATCTGCAGACCTCACCACCTGGCAGGTGAATTTATACTTCTTGATTTAATTTGCTAGCTTCCCCACTGCACTGAAAACTGCAGTCTTGTGACCACCATAGTCCTGCTACCTATAGCAAAGGAGCTGGGTGTTCAGTGTGCAGGGCTTAAGGTCAAATCTGCTTTAATGGCCTCAAGTGGCTGTGCTCCGTGTGACTGGCTCATTGCCCCTCCTCTGTAGCCAGAGTGAGGACAAGACCCACCACTCAATACAGGCACCCAATACAAAGCTGCCAAGTGAATCAGATCCTCTCCACTACCCCAGAGGAGCCATGGGGCTCAGGGAGTTACGTGCCTCTAAAATGTCTCCAAAATGTGTGCTTGGTCCCATCTCTTCACAGAGCTCTTTCTGCTGCCAGGATGGTGTTCTCAGATCTACCTGGGGATGACACTCACTCCTCTCAGGGTGACCTCAGTTTGCTCACAACTCAAAGCCACTGGCCCCAAATTGTGTGCCTCAAGAAGATTCTCCCTCCATAAGGGAGGTGTCATGCGGAGAGCATCCCGAAAGCCGAGATCCCAGAGGACAGTCACAGGAGATTTTCCCTCTGAGGACGTCACAGCCTGTTGGTGGGTCCTTTACTACCTCGTGATTTCTAAAATTAACATTTGGAGGAAATGGCCAAAAAAGTACCTGGTTCAAATGAACATCCATTGTTGGTGGAGTATTAATAAAAGTTGGTAGAACCTCTAGAAGGGGCAATTTGGCAACATATATAAAAATTATCTTTGTACATTTCCATTGTTTCAGGAATTCCACCGCTACAGATGTCCTTACACTTCTGTAAAGTGACCTACATATAAGGTCATTCCTACTGCGTTATTTATAATAGCAGAAAATCAGAGACAACCTTCATGTCATCAACAGGAGGTTGATTAAAGCATGGTATGTCGACCCCATGCTGCCAGAAAATGGAAGCTCTGTTTGTACTATTATGGAATGAACTCCAAGATAAACGGGTAAGAAAGTAGAGTGCACACAGTGCATGTAATGGGCCGCTGTGTGTTTATGCATAAAAATACGCACAAGGATACACAAATGTCTGGTAACCTTTCCGGCTTACAGGGAAAGAGGGCAGAGATGGAGGGAGGCTTTCACTCTACTTCTGGGTACCTGGGAAGGTTGACTCATGTGAATATATTAGTCAAAAATAAGTTTAAATCAACCCGGGAATGAAAGGCACTCTTCTACATTTCCAAATCTCAGCCAGGTGGAGGGGTGGACAACTTAGCAGTGGGTGTCTGAGCAGCAGTCCTGGTCAGTGGGCCTCCCGCTAAATTGCTCTCCCCTCTCACCTATTTTGCCTCTGTAAAAACAGGGGTGGGGTTAGAAACCAGCTCCTCCCCCGCGATCCGCCCAATACACCAGCACGCAGCACAACTCCCCACCCCATTCCGAGCACAAAGCCAACCGGCCACCAGGCCCCGCCTCCGTCACCCAACTGCTCGATACAGAGCTCCTCGCGGCTCATTGGCTCCATTCCTTTCATGCCAAGAGAAACCAGCTTCCTTCCAAGCAACCCTCAATCTTGAAATACTCCCCAGGGCACTCACAACTCCTCAAAATAATGGGAGTGTCCTCTTGAACGCTTGCTGCTCAAAGTGTGGTCAGTGGAGTCGGGGAGGTCTATGAGTGAGACCCAATCCCAGGAGGTTAAGTGCAGAAATTTTAGAGTACACATTCACGAAGGTTGGTAATAACGTGTCAGAATGACTTTGAATCTGTTGAATCGAATAATAAAAAATTGGGCAGGGGGTGTAAAAGTTGGTGTACTTTACAAAAGTATCCGAGCACAGCAGCTTGGAAATTTAGAAACATAAAACTGATACGTCACCACAGATCCTTGAAGAGGCACTGCTCTAAACCACAAGAGTGCCTTTTAATGAGAAAGGGGGACTAATATTTGTTGAGGGCTTACTGACTGCCAGTATTTTATTATATAGATCAATTCATCAGCACAGCCCTAAAAAGTAGATATTCCCATTTTTATAGATGGTAATAAAGATATGCAATATTGTTATGGTCACAGTCCATAACAATAATATAACACAGTCAAAGAATAGTCTATCTCCCATACAGAACAAAGCTTCTGGAAATGAACAGTCTAAGAGCTGTAAACAGTAGGTTAAAAGCTAATAGTAATTCCAGGGGCAGGGATAATGATTGTTTTCACTGTCATACTTATGAGTTAAGACTATTTTGTAAACGAATACTTCAAGCCCTTCTCCAGAGCCTTTTGCCCTCTCTTCCACCCCCACTCAGCCTCTCTGTTTTGTTTAGCAGACACAGTAGGTGTTGGGAATTTAGTTTCTTTTCTTCCTTGCCCAGTTTTTCTCCCTGTGCTATTCTTTCTCTTCCTTTCCCCTTTTCTTTCCATCTCACTATTCTAAACTGGCCAATCTATGGAAATGAAGGCTATTTTGGAATTAAAAGTCCTAGATTTTCAGTTGCTGAATAAGTATCCAGGTGGATAGAGGCTTTCCTGTCCTCTAAAGATAAAACAAATTGCTTTTCATCATCTTGTTGTCCAAAACCTACTCCCTACCCAGTTTGGGTCAAGTGTTCCAGCTCTTCCCCTCCCAGGAGCATTAGGAAGGCCTTCCTGACAGTGAGACAGACCTTGGGAGCCTGGGTACTGATTTTGGCCGCCCCGCCCAGCCCCCTGCTCTTGACAGAGACCCAAATGAGGCCACCAGTTAGTCGCCACCCAGTCACCCCACTCCATTTGTTTTGAAGGCCTCTGGCCTCTAGTTTCCTCTCTAGGCCTTTCTCAGGGTGCCGGGTCCCAGAGACCCATTGATTTCAAGGACACCTACCTGCCTCCTCCCCGGAACCCACATTTGCAGGATGGTGCTCCCCTTTCCACAACCTGCCAATTCGCTGTCCAGAAACCTGAGTCCAGCAAGCAAGCCTGGTGCTCAGACCAGGCCCTTCCTCACTTGGTCAAATGGGGACACAGTGCTCTCCGCAGCTGCTCACCTCACAGGACTGCAGAGGGGCTGGGATCTTCCAATCTTAGAGGAGGAAGAGGCCGAAACTGGTGGGAGGCCACATGCCTCAAACACCGCCTCTAACTTCAACTGAAGAACCACTCAAAACAATTTCCAGTTTTTTAAAAAAAACATTCAGTTAAAAGAACAACATTTAGTTAAAAAAAAAAATGCAGATCAGGAGAGACTCAAGGTGGCCAGAGAGAAGGGCAGAGGTGACATAGCAAATATAGTAAAAGAATATCAGAATCTGGTAGGTGAGTATACAGGTATTCATTGTCAAATTCTTTAAATTTTGCTGGATATTTGAAATTTTCATAATAAAATAATAAAATGGGGGAGCATACTAAATGCAATGTGTGGCCTTATTTGCACCCTGATTTGAACAAACGAACTGTAAAATGTAGTTAGATTTTTGGAGGGTGTGTTAATGGTATGGCAGTGCTAGTTTTCAAGAGTTCTTATTTAATAATACATACTGAAATATTGCAGTGCGAGGGAGAGATGGGGGAGAAATAGGTCAAATAAGATTGTTCATAAGTTTATAATCACTGATGCTGATGATGGATACATGAGATTCATTCTTCTCTCCACTTTTATGATGTTTTGAAATTTTTCCATAATAAAGTTTTCTTTAACCACTAGGATGGGCTCTTTGTTTTATATGAACAAAACCCCATCACAGCCAACCACCTTTGGGGTTCCCCTGCTCCATCCTGACCAAATCTAAACCGGATGTCAGTTTGAAAGAAAATGTACAAACAGTAGCAACCACCTTCCCCCTGGGCAGGTGGTGGAGAGCAGCCTCCCGGACAGGAAAAGGGGGTAGGGGCCTCTTCTGCAGGAGCATCTGGTGACCCTTCACTCCCACCAGACCAGAAAGAGGCCACCCAGCTGGGTCCTCCCCTCCTACTCCCTGCAGTGAAATTCATACTCTGGGGTTTTTAGTTTCTGTAGGAAACCCCAGAGATACAGCAGGGCCTCAGGGCCTCAGTCTGTAAAATGGGGTTCAACTGGGGTTTAGCTTCTCCTTCAGCGTCTTCTGCCCCTCTCCCAAATTATGTAACGATTGACGCTTCCAGACACTTAAGTCTACCAGGCCGGGTGGGACTTTAAGAATCCCCCTCCTGAGCTGCAGGGGAGGTTCAGTGCCAACTCTCACCCCAAAACAGGCTCTCAATTCCTTGAGTGATCATGAAAACTGGAGAATCAAAATAGTAGATAATCCAAAAAACTGCTCCATGCATAGGCTTTGGGAGTCATTTGTTTTCCTTGCATATACATGTGTGCATTTTGGGGTAGTGTATCTGGATTTAACAGTGAGCAAACAATTACTCACAGAAATAAACCCAAAAGTTGGCAAGAGAGACCCTACTACCCCTCAGTCTCCCTTGTGCTGGTCAGTTCGCACAGTGAAGCCAGGACAGACTCCATGACCCCCACTCTGTCACTAGCAGACTTGGTGGCAGGGACTCAGGCTTGGGTACAGGCTCTGCCACATACACATTATGTGACTTCTCTGTGCCTTGGTGTTCCTATGCTTAAAATGGGGACAATAATTTGCCCTCCCCACAAGGCTATTTACAAAAATTAAAAGATATATATAGAGAAAGCATTTTATATCATTATCATACTATTTATAAACTACGCCATAAGCAGTGTTTCCCAATAATACTTCATAGAATGTGGTAAGGTAATAACTTTGAAAAATGTAATATTTATACTCTAACCTTGGCTTGTACATTATATGCAGATGAGTATATGAAAGGTTCTGAGAAGTCCTGCAGTTTAAAAAAGTCTGTTTAGTGATAATTAATCCATTAAGTTCAATTTCTTAACTTTTTTGGCTCCTTAAACCCTTTCTTCATGGGATACCAACTAATTAACTACTCAACATCCTTGAGACCATTAAAGAACAGCTTAGGAAATATAGCCTTGAATGGACTCGAGGAGGCCCAGTTCCTGTCTTGGTCCAGCATATTCCTCTGTGGTGCCAACTTGACTCAGATTCCCACACCTCTGCCAGGACCCAATGCCCGCTGTGTGGGTCAGTTCCCATTCTTACCCTAACCAGTCTCACCCCACATAGAGGACAGAGGGGAGCCTGCAATTTATCTCTTCAGCCCTGAAGAGGGGAGGCTCACCAGCTTCTCCCGTATATACACCAGCTCTGGCCACTACCCCTCACTGCCACGCTCAGACCTACCTCAAAGGCTCAACCGGACTGTCCGTCCCTGCCATCTACTGCCCCTCACTGTTCTAGCCTTCCTCCTCATTGGGCACACACGCTCTGCCCTTCTCAACACCAGTTATAGGTCAGTACACATTCTGCTACTTCCGGAAACACTCTGCCCTTCCTCTGAGTTCCACAGTCTAACACACACTTGCTCTCTGATCCCCTCCCTACCTCCCAATCCATTCTGGCAACGCTTCAAGCTCGGACTTGGTGCTATATATCTTTGAGAGGTCAGAGCAGTACAAGCAGTTAAAAGGATGTACTCAGAAACCTGGGTTCAAATCCCGATTCCACTGCTTGTCGGCTGGATGATCAAGTTACTTAAGGTCTCTGTGCCTCAGTGTCTTTATAAGTGAGGTAAACAAGAGTGCCTGCTTTAGGGGGTTGTTGGGAGGAATTAATAAGTTGATTAAAGTGCTTAGGACAATGTCTGATACACAGTGAATGCTAGATAAGTGTTAGCTATTACTAGTATTATCTTTCCTTCTCCCCCCACAGAACCTTCCACAGGCAGTCTTTTAAAACTCTTTGTATTTATTTACTCCCCGCCTCCTTCCGCAGGGCTCTGAAGTGGCTGTGCACAAAGAGAGGGTTCAGGGAGGGCTCTCCAGGCTGAGCTGAAGGCACCAGGAACAGGATTTGAGGTTGGAGACTGGGGCGGGGTATTCCCCCACTGCCACATCAGGGTGATTTCCCGCCCCAGCACAAGAGCCCAGCCCAGCCAAACCAGCCCTACTGCTAAAGCCACCGACTGCCAGCGCTAGATGGGTCCCGAGTCCGGCCATAAATGAGGAAACTGAGGCTAACCAGCCCTCTTTCACACTTTACCACCCCCCCAACCTGGCATTCATCGACCCCTCCAACCATGTCTGCTGCGGTCATAGCTCCGCTACCAACTTAACTTGACTTGAGGGAGAGGGAGAGGGAGAGGGAAAAGGAGAGGGAGAGTGAGAGGAAGAGGGAGAGGGAGGGAGGGAGGGAGGGGGGGGAGAGAGAGGGAGAGAGAGACAGAGAGAGAGAGCGCAAGGAGACAGAGAGCCTCCACCTACAGTTTAAGGACCTGGCGTTGGGGGGGGGGCGGGGGTATGAGTGAAGGGGCAGTGCAAGGGTCTAGACCAAGCTCTGATCTGACACGCAGATACCACCATTTCACAGTAGACTGAGTTGTCCACATGATCCTAAAGGGTTGAGAGCAAGAGCAAAAGCCGTTTATCTTTCTCTCCCCAAATCTTTATCGTTCTCTCTCTCAACCTGCATGATTTTTGTCCTGGGGCAAAAGAAGCTTTCTAACTGCCCTGACTGCCCCTAAACCAGCAGCACTACAGGAAGAGTAATATTGTAGGCGGCCATCGCCGGGCGGGGGCAGTCGGGGCGCACTTCCTGGAGGAGGCGGCGCGTTTCGCGCGCTCGGAGCTTGTGAACCAGCCCCTTCCTTCACTCACCGGTGTCCAGGGAAGTGAACACGGCGCTCGGGATGGCTCGTCGGCTGCTGGACAGGACCAGCGTCTGCATCTGCCGGACTAGCTGGGGCATGCGGTCCCAGTGGCCCTCCGCGCGGCAGCGCTCCAGCTCACTCTCTATCTTCAGGTGGGAGCCGTGCGTGCCCTTCGCAGCCATCTTCGCGCGGGCGCTGTCATGGGAGGTGCTGCGGAGAAGTGGAGACCCGGCCGGGGGCGGCGTCCCGGCTGGGGCGCACAAGCGGGCGGGGTCCACGGGGGCGCGGGCGGCGGCCGGGGCCCGGGTGGTAGCGGGGGCCCGGGTGGCGGCGGGCGGGCAGCAGCACCCGCAGCAGCACCCAGTGCACTGCCTGACGCCTCCGGGCTGGGGCTTGGGCTGTGCGGCCCGGACGCGTCCAGGAGCAGCCTCCGCCTCCGCCGCAACAGCTCTTGGCGCTGCTGCAGCCGCCGGTGCTGCAGCTGCTGCCACAGCCCCCGCCCCGGGCCTGGGCGCCGCCAGCTGCGGACCCGCCCCTGGCAGCTGCTCCACCTCCGCGGGGGCGTGGTGCGGCCCCGCCGAGCAGGGCGCCACCGCGGCCACCGCGGCCACAGCAGCCAGGCGCGCGATGGGCGCTCGAGTCCCGCTCGGCGCCAGCATCCCGCCGCTATTGCGGCGGACTGGGCGCTCACTTTAATGCTGCGCGAAGTCCCGGGGCCCGGGGGCGCCTTGCTGCCCGCCTCCACCCCATCCCATCGGGGTTCTTGGCCTGGGAGACCTCAGCCCCGACGTCCGGGCTTTGTGTGGTGGCCCCGTCACCACTGCCGCCCCTGGCACGTCACAAATCCGGGGAGAGGCTAGTCGGCCCAGCGCCCCCAACTCAAGAGCAAGCCTTCCCAGGGGCACTGCTGCTGCCCGGGTCCGGACTTGCTGGGACGCGCGGGCCACGTGTGCCATCCCCGGGATATGCCGGAGGAAATAGGAGGGTTCCGAGCCCCTGGACTCTCTGGACGCCTCTACTCTGACAGACTTTTTCTTTTTGAACAGTGGAGTTCCTCTTCCCAACCTGATTCCCCTACACTAACCATATGGCCTGTCCTCTGGAATCCTGTTGTCCTGGATTTCTTAAAGGTTTTAAGCTCTTTCTCCAACTTGGTATTTATTTATTTCTTAATTCTGATGTCTAAAGACTGTGATCAAAGCTGTACAGAGCTCTTGGCAGGGCTTAGTCTGGCGCTGTGGTGTTCTAAGAAGTTCAAAGGATTACATGGTGGCCTGGAGGGAGGGGACGGATGAACACCCTTTGCCTGAGACAGGTTGTGGTGGCCCAGCTTCCAGTCCTGTGTAGGGATTGAAGCCACACACAAGAAATCACAGCACGACCAACAAAACAAAACCAAGCCCTATATTTAAGTGGCATATTGTGTGGCACAGACTGAAGACTCCAGAAAACTGAGAGTGAGAACAAGGTTTTTTTTTTTTTTAATTTTTATTGGGGAATTGGGGGAGGGGAACAGACAAGTTGCTGTTGTTTTTGTTCTTCAGACGTTGCTTCACTGGCCCAAGTTGGCACCATCATTGTGCTCTTCCCGGGCTAGGCAGATCAGTTGCCGGCTTCTGGACGGCCGCTCACTGCGGCTGCTGACCTCTCACGCTGGCTTCTGGCTACATACAGTAGTAGCCCATGGCAACCCACTGCCACAGGGGCTGCAGCCTACGCTGATGCCGGTTACTCAAGGCAGCCCAGCTCCAGGTCGAGCTGTTGTTCAGCATCTTAGCTGTAGAGGGCAGTGTCACCGACCCTCATATGTGGGATCCGAACCGGGGCCCTCTGGCATCCCAAGCCAGTTCTTAACCATCGCGCCACTGTGGGTCGCCGGTGACGGTGTAGGCTGCAGTCCCTTGCTGCAGTGGGCTGCCATAAGCTACCATGTGTAGCCAGCAGCCAGCGTGAGCGGCCAGCAGCCGCAGTGAGCTGCCGTCCAGAAGCTGGCGACTGATCTGCCTTGCCGGGGAAGAGCGCAATGATGGTGCCAGCTTGGGCCAGTGAAGCAAAATCCTCCACAAATAGACTGAAGAACAAAACAACAGCAAATTGTCTGTTCCCCTTCCCCCGATTCCCCAGCACTGTTCCCCTCCCCCAATTCCCCAATTTAAAAAAAAAAAAAAAAGCCTGCCTTCCTCCTCCATGTGAGGGTCTTCACCATTGCCTGACACATGACCTAGGGAGTGAGCTTGACCACTTTCAGTGTTAGGAGACTCACTGCTTCATGTTTCTGGACAACGGTCATAGTGGGAAAGTTTTTGTCAAGCCCAGGCTCCCGGTGCCTAGTCCCATTGGGCCCTTTGCTCTGCAACCCCCCGGGGTTATCTTGAAGGTAGCCTTCCTGCCCCTGACTCCACCCCAGCTTTCCCATGGATACCCTGTTCTCCAGGCTCCAAATGCAGCTCCACTCCTTGCTTGGAGTGCAGGATATTCTGACCTTGGGTCCTGCTCTGAGCATCTGAGGTCTGTTCTGAACTGGAGGCCAGGAGATAGATGAAGGAAAATTGGGACAGCTCTGGCAGTTAGAATTTAAGAGACAATTTACTCAAGTTACACACATTCCTTCTGGCCTACTCCTGTCAACTCCTCTAGGTGGCTTTTGATTGGTTACTCTTTGACTGCCCTTGCTGGTCACCAGAACTGGATTCTGCTAGGAGAGTGACTTGTGCATGTCCTTTGGGTAAGGGTGGACTGAGAACACACTGATTTGCCCCAGGTGTGGCATTCCCCAGAGTCAGTTCTGGGCCAGGCAAAGAAAAGCAGAGTTGTTAAGAAGGCAGCCATCATGGAAATAAGGAGACCTCCCCTCCTCTCTCCCTTCTCCCTGTTCTTTGCCACCCCTGCCCCCAGGCAACTAACTGAGAGGGAATGACTGCTTGTTTCTTTGAGGTGTGCTCCAATATTTGTTTGGGCATGGGCCAGGATGGGGAGGAACACCCCTTGGCAGGGAAAGCCCTGCCTAGTATGGTTAAAACTCATAAGGAGCTGCTCCTCAACACTGTGAAACACATGCTCCTCAACGCTGAGATCTCTTCGTGGCTCTTTTCCAACAGAGACAAGACCCTAGCCTACTAGTGACCAGCATTTTTTAGGGGAGTAAGAGAGACTGTGGGAACAAGAACAAAGAACCACCATGATTGTATCAGTTATGTTTGCCAACATAAAAGGCATAGTGTGGTGGTTGTTTTTATTTTTTAATAACCTGAAAGCTTAGGACAAATTCTGATAAAGACTGCTGTCATTTGCTAACTGGAAAATGCTACCAATATACCTTGCGAAGCTGATTAGGCGAAGCTGAGCTCATTGCTTACCAGAGGGATGGAGAGCACTGCATTGACAGCAGCGTCTCAGAGGAAGTAATGAAGTTCATGGGAGGTACATCAACTTGCTGAGAAATGTGTATTTTCACAGGGTAACAAAGATGGTACAGCACAAGGGACCATCTGGTTTAAAGGGAAACCAAGCCGAAGATTCTACTAGTTTAGCTGCCGCCTCAGACAAGGTGAGAAGGTTCCTGCCACTGTATCAGGAGAGAGGCTGTAGTAAACTATTGGTCATTTAAAAAAATTTTTTATTTATTTACTTGCTTTAATAAGAAAAAAGTTCACAGAATAATTTTTCCCCCTCAAGCTTCTATAAAATCCTGGCAATGTGGCAAACATTTTACAAAAATAGTTTAAGAACAATTAAAGTGCATATAACTCCTTTTTAAAGTTTATATTAACTGTGCTTTACTAAACAAAAAGGAAGTTTGCTTTTAATTTCCAGGCTTGTTGAAGGAAGCTATTGGTCTTAATTCTCATCAAGTTAAGGGCTTGGTGAGATCTATACTTTTAGGTTGAAAGGTTTATGCTATTTAGTTAGGCCTGGAATGGGAGATCATTGAAGAGCTCATTTGAACTCACAAAAAGTCTGTTCAAGTTTGGATTCCCAGAGAAAATGGTTACTGAAGACTTTGGTCAGTCAAATAATGGCATGGAAATTGCAGAAAAGTTGGGAATGCATCGCCTGCAGTGGCCAGTGAGACCTAGGAATCCTCATGCTTGTTTCTTAGTTATTGGTGGGGAACCTTTTACACAGCCAGTTGTTGGGAGTAAGATAACTACCCCCATGGGATAAATCTTGTCTTAGGTTGTGTACTTTCCTTTGACAAATTCAAATTGTTAACTTCTCTGGGGAACCCTCTGTGAGCTTAAAGAGTAAGCAGATCGATAAATCAGTCTCAGAGTTCACCTCATCTTTGGAACACAAAAGATGGTCCACATATTGGATAAGAATAGACTCACAGGGCAATTTGAACCTCTTGTGGTCCTGGCTGAGGTCTTATGAAAAGCAGAGGGGCACCTCAGTAAACTGAGGCATAGTGGTCCAGGCATGTTGTTGATTCTCCCTGGAGAAGACAAAACAGTTACTAACTTTAGATTTAAAGCACAATGTACTTCTACAATTGTGACAGTCAGTCTCCTTAGGCATTGAAGATAAAATAATATTTGAGTTTGGTTCCAAAGGGAAAGGGAAGCAGAGAGTGAATAATTTATTTATGGCCCTGGGGACGTAGGCAAATTCATATTCCTGCCCACTGGGTTTCTCCATGGGACAATAGGAGGGTTACAGGATTGAGAGGACATATGAAGACTCATTTCTCTTTAAGGCTTTTAATTATTAGTTCTATTCCGTCTTTAGCACTTGTTTTAGAAGTTGTTGTGCTAGTTTGGGTGTGTCAACCTGATTGAACCTTGATGGGTTTAGCTCCAGTAGAATAGGTAGAAAATCAGTAGACTTTTTTGCCCACAAGAGAGCTTTAATCTGTGCTAGATCTACACACAAAAGTACTAGTAAATCAATATCCAAATTAACCAGGACCTCCCAGACTGGAAGGAAAAGACCATCAGGAGAGCATTCACACAATAAATTCTTTGCTGTTAAGCTAATGTGTGTAGTGTCACAAAGGAGACAAGAACACTCCTTAGTTAAATGTTCAAGGCCGACAGTTAAGGTCTGGGGCCTGGAGAAGGTGTGATGAAGATTATTAGACAGATGCAGAACTGGGGCAGTTTGTGGACTTCAAGGAAAAGGTATAATAGTGCTCGGGTTTAACACTGATATTGTGCCAATATCGATCAAAAAGTTGTAAGGTTGTCCTTTAATTTTTAGAGAACTGTTTCTTTGCAAATTTAAGAGTAGAATGAGAAATTGAACACCTTAGTTGATAACTTTTGTTTTTCTTTTTCCTTTAGTTTCTTCTAGAGCTCTTTCAAAATAGAATTTTCAAGCTTTTGGACGTCTGGCCATGGGGGTGTTTTCCATTCCACTTTTTGCTTGCAATTGAAATCCCCTATTTCTAGTTTAAGGCCATTCACAAAAAGATAAGAGGGAGAGCCAGGGTCAAGTCTGCTTTAGGATTTACTCTTGAAAACTGCCCCTAGGTGTTTAAGAACCTATTCCTAAAGTCTCTATCAGACTTTTTTTTTTTTTTTTGGCTTGAAGAA